GATACATCTGAAGTGTACCTGTTGTTTTTGATTTCAGAGACTTTTAGTGACCTGAGCGAGTCATTCAGTGCTCATTTTAGTGCAGAGTGATTCAGTTTATGACGAGGAAATCAAATACATAATTATTTTGTCTCCTAATGCTCAAAATGCCTTATATTTCGAGACCAGTATGTCGAAGTGGTGGTGGCGCAGCGGTTTGGTCACTATCACCGGCGTGCTTTGGACCCCATGGTTCTAGGTTCGAGTCCCGCCACCCGACTTTGGTGGTAGACAGCTCTGCTATCGTCCGGTTCAGTACCACGCCTAACCTATCGAAGCCTTATGTGGTTCGCCACTCCAAGTCCCGGGGATTATATTGTCCATTTCCACTACCGAACAGCTGGTCCACGTGAATATGGGGTTCACCCCGCCTGCTGTTCATCACACCTAGGTGTGTAATAAAAGGAAAGAGAATGCTGACGTGTTTTTATTTCTCCTGAACAGAAATCCTCGATATTGTTAGTGGTGTGAGTAAAATTGACGAATAATCATTTGTAAACACCAGTTTGTTTCTTGTGGGATGGAAAAAGGGTGCATAAATAAATAAAAAATTTTGCTTTTTCGTTTATCAATTATATGAGTGTACAATAGTCTTTCAGGAAGGGAGTCGCAGCCATTCAAATACGGGCTGGGGAACACAGAAAATGAGAAGATGGGCGGCGTTGGCGGGGTTCGAACTCCGAACTTTTCGGTAGCTATTTCGACGGTCTTACCACTCGCCCTCCACCGCCCATACAGTGGGAGTTCCTGTTCGGAGCCCGAGAAACGATATTCAACAGCTGCTACGGCCATATTGAGATCGGTTAGCTGGTTTTGCTGTTTGCTTTTCTGTCGGGACTTGCTCCACAAACTTCCGAATTGGAGGTCGAAACCGGAAGGAACGATCATTTTATGTTTATTTTTGATTCAGTCAGCACAAAGAACGGTGTCCAACTTGTGGTCGCATAAAAGTTCAAAATTAACGCCAGTGGTACGGTGGCATCCCTAAAGTGGTGTTTACCGGTAATCGCCGTGATCAGCTTATTGCGACGGTTGTTGCTTTCCTACTCGTTACATTGATTCATCTTATTAGCGATCATCACATAGTTATACGATTAGTTCGATTTCTTTTGTTTCCTAACTTCAGCCGAGTTTGTTTCGATTCGTTTCATTTTGGACAGATTTGTATCAGTGCCTTACCGTTGAATTCCAAAGCCAGCAGTCATCTGAGTAATTCACACGTGGTGCTCGAAGAGGCCATTTGTTTGACAGTGAAGAACTTTGGTGAATCGCATCTGTCTGTCGATCACGTTTTGCCGACGGAGTCTTGGTTTCAAGGTCGGTTTTTTTCGGAATTTCATTCATTCAACTGTCTTTTGGTTAGAATTATCCATTGTCACACATTAAGATAGAAACACAATATTCAATAAGCTCGTTTCATGTATCATATGTCATAGTTTGTCGAAATGTTTGATGGGGGAAGAAGAGGGCTGGGGGTCATGATCAAAGAAGAAATGTACTCCACATTCCAGTCCCATGACGGTCCGTGGACAACATTATGGGGCGTCACCGGTTGCTTAATAAGATCACTACCGTACAGTAGTAATCGGGATACATATCAGTACCCTATAAGAGCGACACAACTGCCCAGGTGGTTACACCCAAACGGTTTACAGCTGTGGAACAAAGCACTCTCAGCAAATCTTCGCATTATCTTCTTCTCCAGTCCATTCTTGCGTTTTCAACTCATAGTTAAATGACCTGTTTCTGCATTCACTTCCTGTGGGGCAAAGTATATCGGTAGCACAAGCAGGCGTTCATCTGAACGAGCTCGCGAGCAACACCCAGCATGGTAGATGAGTGGAGTGATTAGGGCTATCAACAGCTCGATCGTTTCACACGTGGTGGAGTAAAATCGCTTGGTTTCGGCCGAGGCTTTGAGACCCCTCTAATTGGTTCGCAGCCGCCGATCTGAACGGTATAGGAGTCTCATTCTGGCCACAGTGGATTCCATCTACACGACCACCCCCTTCCCATACTCACTAAACAATTCGTAAGACGACTCGGTCTTCCATGGACCACACCACACACGACACCATCATCCACCCCTAAGGATCCGAATTGGTGCGTATGTGTGATGACCAGTGTGTGAGCAATATTCGGCCATGAAGCTTGAATGTAGATTGCATTTCTTTTTTATTCATGCGCCCTCTTCCCGTTTTTCTTTTTCTTTATGCACATTTGTGTGCAACTGCGAAGTATGAAGTGCCCTAAGGTCTTAGGCACCCATTTGGAAAAATCTCTTTTCGATCTATCTAGTTCTTCCTCTCAATCTCGATGGCTTTTGTCGGGCCAAAGATCTAATCATGCCTGGAAGGTCAGTGGGTAGAAGTCAGACAAAGTCCAGTCTCCTGGTCCACCGGGTTCGGGGTTCGAATTGAGTCGGCGTCTCTGTCGACGTTTTGGATGAATAATGGATCCAA